TGCAAATAGTAGGCAGCCGAGCTTCTGTTGATACTCCTGGATTTGCTTCGCGGGGAGTTTTGCGGAGGCGCTGTTGTTGTTTCCGTAGCGGTAGGGAGTTGAGGCGGTAGCCGGTGTTAGTCCGAATTTCTTCGCGACAGTGCCTGCGTACTTTCCAGCGTGTAGGTAGAACGCCGAGTTGTCTTCGACGATATTTAGTCCCAAGTACTGGGTCACTGAGTCGGACACTGTGAGCGTCAGGTCCCCTTTCAGCTCCCCTTCGAACCAGGTGACGATGTCGGTGGTAGAACCGATGTAGAGCAGGTCGTCGACGTAGACGATGAGCAGAATGTAATCTCTTCCCTTCTGCAGTCGGTACATGCCTTGGTCATGTGGTAGCTGTAGGAAGCCGATTTTTACGAGACGGCTGTGAAGATGCTGCTGCCAGAGCCGCGGGGCTTGCTTGATCCCGTATAGGGATTTTGTCAGTCGGCATATTTTCGTGGGGTCGTTGATGAATCCGTGGGGTTGTTCGACGAAGATCTCAGCGTCCACAGGTGCGTATAGGAACGCATTCGCGACATCGATTTGGCGTAGTGGTAGTGTTTTCGTGGCCGCGACGGCGAGTAGGATGCGTAATGAGGTGTGACGGGAGACTGGAGCGAAGGTTTCTGTGTAGTCGGTTCCGTATCGTTGATCGAAGCCTCGTACGACCCATCGAGCTTTGAATCGTTCGATGGAGCCGTCTGAGTTGGTCTTGATGCGGTACACCCATTTCCCCGAGAGAACGTTCTTCCCGTTGATGCTCGTTGCAGGTACCAGTTTCCATGTGTCTCGGTCTTGCAGAGCTTTTAACTCTTTTTCCATCGCTTCCTTCCATTTTACCTTATGTTCCCCCCCCAGAGCCTGCGACAATGTTGAAGGCTCACGCGTAGAAGGCGGCGGCGGATGCTGGACGGAGACCCAGAGGCCTAGAATCTGGAGTCCCGTGGGTGTGTGTCGAGGGGAATTGTCATTCCCGGAATAAGCTGCTTCGTCACCGTCTTCGGGGTCAGGTAAGAAATTGGGGCCGATGCGTTCCGAAATATTCGTGTCGACGGGGTGAGGTGTAGCGTAACCTTGGTCGGCGAAGTGGTAAAAGGTGTCGAGGTTGTTGCTATCGAGGGGATTATCTTCATCTAGTGGAACAGGTACGGAACAAAATGGGAGTGGCCCGGCAGCTTCCGAGGCTCCAGGTACGTCTTCTTCTGCTGCGTCAGCTTCGGCAGCACGATCGGCGAAGGAACGAAGTCCCGAGAGGCCGTCGGTGGGGTCTTGTGTGTTGGCAAGGTTGTCCAGGTAATGCTGCAGAGTCAGTCGTTCGTAGAAGATAACGTCTCGTGATGCCACCGTGTTTTTGTCTTGTATGTCGAGAATTTTCCACGCGTGAAAATGTTTCGCGATGCCGAGGTGGAGTCCCCACCGAGCTCGTTGTGTGAAGCGTCCTGCTCGGGCTGTGTGGGGTCTGTACTGTACCATGCAGCCAAAGACTCTGAGTAATTTTGTGCTGCCCCTTTTTCTTGTCCACAACAGGTGCGGTGATGCGTTGTTGGGAAGTGATGACGAGGACAGCAGGTTGTGCAGGTGAACAGCATGTGTCATCGCGTCTGGCCACAGTGTGGTTGGCAGTCGCATCCCCTGAAGCAGTTTTCGCATCGTCGTCTGCAAGGTCCGATTCATGCGTTCTGCTACCCCCTGCTGTTGGTGAGCATAGGGCAGGGACACCAGGCGTCTGATTCCCCTTTCCGCCAGATAGGTCCTGAAGCGTTGTGACTGGTATTCCAGTGCACCGTCTGACTGGAAGCTTTTGAGTTTGAGTCCTGATTCTCGTTCGGCGATGGGGAGCCATGTTGTGAAGGCTTCGAAGGCTTGGTCGCGCGTTTTGAGATTGAAGTGCCAGACATATCTGGTTGCGGCGTCGATGAAAGTGATGACGTAGTTAAAGTCGGCTTCGGCGTCGTCTCGAGGCATGTTTAAAATATCGCTGTAGACTTTTTCCATCGGAGCGTAAGTAGGTGCGCTTGGGTTGTGATGGGATGGAAAAGGTTGATGAGGAAGATCTGCTTCGGGGCATGTGAAGCACCGTGCGCGTGGTCGTCGAAGTTCTTGACCGCTCGTCGTCAGAAGGGCGTTGCGTTCTAACACCACTGCTTGGATTGTTTGAAGTATTGTGCTGTTTGCAGGGTGTCCGAGGCGTTGGTGCCAGATGTCGTCGGGAGCACGGTGACCGGGCGAGCGGTGGTAGATGTCGGCGTTGGAGAAGAACGCGACGACCGAGGCGGGACTTCGACAAGCTTCTCGTGTGGCGGGCATAAGTTGGTCTGCTTCCGTTGGCGGTCCTCGTGTTGATGGTGGTGGTACTCGGCTGGGTCCTGCTGCCGATACTGCAGGTGATGGTTTTGTTGGGACACTTGCGGGTACTTGTCTTTCTTGTCTGATAACTGCTAATGCTCGTGTTCTCTCTGCTGCAGGTATGGTGTTGGAGTGCCAGAAGCCGTCACTGTCGAAGTCGGGATCAAGATCTGGCGGGTGAGTCCAGGCGGCGAACGATACGATGCCATCGCTGTCGGCAGTTCCGCGGTCGGGGACGAAGTCCAACACGAAGACACCGGACTTCAGGAGGGCACGACCGATGAAGAGGCCGCCCTTCCCGTGGTAAAGCCGGAACTCGTTGGAGTAAGAGTCGCACTCCAGGTGAATCCCTTTGGCCATTAGTTGGCTTACGCTTAGTAGATTGTATCCCAGGTTGTCGACAATGAGCACTTTGTTGAGCTGCAGTATTACGTTTGTTTCCATGGATTGTAACTGAACCACGCCTTGTCTGTTTGTCTTCAGGTTTTCGTTGTTGGCGACTGTGATGACGACGTCGCGGTTGAGTCGTTTCTCCTGTTGCACGAAGCGTCCCGAGGAGCACATGTGTTGACCGCAGCAGCTGTCCAAGAACCAGGTGTTTCGCCCGGTGGGTTCGGCGTTGGCGACTGCAGCGTATGTCGGGTTGACCTGAAGTCCTTGCGAGCGCGGCGGCGGGAATTCCTCTTCGTCTGGTGCGTAAGTGGGTGGTGAACCGGGTGCGCAGTTGTCGATGTGTACCATGCAGTTGATGATGTTGGGTGTTTGTTGTGCAGATGTTGAAGAGCGCCTTGGAGGACTTGCTTGAGTGGAAGCGACTTGTGGGTCTGCTGCACGGTAAACGCGAGGGCGGTTGCAGTTGACTTTGGAGTGCCCGGAAGTCTGGCAGTTGTGGCAGAACGGCGGTACGATGGTGAGTCCTCGGTTGTCGCGTTGATCTTGCTTGCTGCGTCGGTTGTAGTTGTTGTCATTTCTTCTTTGAGTGTAGAAGACTAACTGCTGTTGCTTCCTTGGTTGTCTTTCCTCGAACAGATCCATCTCCTGTTGTTCAGCGTGAAGCTCGGCGCAGAGGTGCATCTCCGAAATTCTTCCGTGGGCTCGAAGAAGTGATCGTGTGGTTCTCCATTCTGGCCCGAGCCCGGCGAGGACAAGTGTCACGAAGCTTTCTTCAGTGATCGTTCCTCCGCACCGAAGCAGGCGGTCGCGGAGGGTCTGGCAGCGACTCATATACTGCATCGCCTTTTCCCCGGTCTTCATCTGTATTGTTGTCAGCTGTTGCATGAGTCTGCTTTGTGTCACGCTGTCGTTTGCTTGGTAAAGGCACTTGAGGTGGTGCCATGCGAGCTCCGCGGAGTTTCCATAACTCCGATACGTTCTGATGCTCTGCTGCTCTTGTGGTGACAGGTTTCTCAGGAGTACCGTGTACGCCAGCAGCGACTGATATGTGAAGATCTCTTGTTCCTTCCCAGTGCCGTTGCTTGGGAATGGCAGGGACCCGTTGAAGTATCCCAGAAGATGCGCGGCCTCCATCAGCAGCTCGAACTCGAAGCTCCAGGTAAAGAAGTCGTGTCCGTTGAACGGTGAGGATGTCTGAAGTTTGATCACGTGTGAGAACTGCGCCTGTAAACTTAAGATTTCATTCGGTGTTTGTTGTGATGCAGCTGCTGTTGGCTGGGCACGGGGCGGCATGAATTCGAACGTCCCCGGCGAAGAATGATAAGGCGCAAAGGTAGGCGCTTGGTTGTGTCGCCCGAAGGATGAGTTGTCGAGGCTCATCGGCGCTAATCCCATATTCCCTCCATTGCTCTGTGTTTAGTGCGCAGGTGTCCTTGTCTGCTGCTGCTGGTCGAAGTGTGACATGAAGCTGAAGAATCTCTCCATGAGATTCGGGTCCACACTTGAAGAGGGAGACGGAGTCACCATCTCTGGTACTCTTCCCGTTGTTTCTTGAGTAGTCCCGGTCTCTGTCTGCAGTCCTGAGGTGTGCAGACCAGAGTTGCCGTGTTGAGTTTCTTGGGCGCTGGGTGAGCCCGTAGAGACTTTCTTGCCCTTGTTGTCCATGTCTTGTAATCAATGGAGTTGTTGAATCAAGTTGAGTTGCTGGTTGTTGATGGAGTGTAGTTGCTGGGAGTTTTGGTCTCTGACCAGCTCTCATACCATGTTGGGCTGAGAAAAGCCCTTAGGATCTTTTGCAGAGACTAAGTCCCAGCTGTAGAGACTTGAGACTTGGAGTAGTGCAGCGGAAGTTGAGACAGTTGAACCCTTGTACTAGTATGTGAGAACAAGTGATTGATTAAAGAAACAAACATACAGCAATATATAGAAGATAAGAAAGCAGTTGCAGAGTACAGTTACAGGAACGGTTTATCGAGTCGCATAGCGACTCGATTGCCGCTTCGGTTACCATCCGTGATGCTGTAACGGTCAGTCGCAACCTCCAGTTGCGACCCTTTGAGTCCCAGACCCTTCGTGTTCTTTGTCCGCCCCCTCGTGTAACCTCCGTTGACTCGCGTACCCCTTGCAATCTTCCTCGAGTGTAGTGTTACACTTCAGAAACACTTAAGTCTTTTGATGTACTTTAAAACTTTCCTTTTCTCTATATATTGCTGTATGCTTGTTTCTTTTAATCAATCACTTGTTCTCATATACTAGTACAAGGGTTCAACTACTCAACTTCCGCTGCACTACTCAAGTCTCATTCCTCAACTGGGACTTAGTCTCTGGAAAGATCCTAAGGGCTTTTCTCAGCCCAACAGTCATCAACCCAACAGCCCTTATCCAGCAAGAGTTAGGAAAACTGGAATGGCATTTATTCTGCTATATGAAGGCAAACCTGGAAGGTAGCCTATGCTGGGACTCGGGAGGCATGCAGGCAGCTAGCCATACCTGCACTAGACAGTACAAGAGGGGATGTCACAAGGACCGCATACCCTGGCTCCAGCCTCCAGGCCTTACTACCTCTTAGACTTGCCCCTCTGCTGCTTCTTCCCTCCTTTCCCACCAACCCCCCCACCATCCTTCCCTCCACCGCGCCCTCCTCCCTTCTTCCCCTTCCCCTTCCCTCCACCAGACTCACTCACACCGCTGCTTCCTCCCTGCTTGGCCCCTCCGCTCCCACCCTTGCCAGAAGCAGCCTGTGCTGCATCCCCTTTCTTTTCTGTGGTGTGCAGCAGCTTCTTCAGTGGGTTCTCCAGGGACTTGTGCTGGGAGAGGAGGTCGGAGAGCGGGGCGATGGCTGTGCTGTGCAGCCACTTCACAGATGCAGACACATGGCCGGAGTGGCTGTGAAGGGCACGGGAGGAAATGGGTTGTGGTGTGGTGTGTTGGGGTTGGAAGGGGTGGGGTGGGGTGGGTGGGTATGCGATGAGGTAGATGGAATGGAACGCGACTCGGATGGGCATGGAGTCCAAACGTAGGACTGTGAAGAAACAGAAGGAACGTGGGGTGGTTCACAAAATGACAGATTGAGAGAATGATGCAGGTCAAGGCAGAAAAGAATGACAAGAGAAGGGATGGGGCCATATGATGACGTACGAGTGGTGGATGACAGAAGTGGCAGCTTCAAGTGACTCAGCAGCGTCCAGCGCCTGCTCCAGCAGCTCCTCATGCTTCTCCGCCTCTGCCTCCGACAGTGCACGCCCTTGCCCCCTCTGCTGGCCCTGCCCTGTGCCTGGCTCCTCCTGCTGCAGCACCTGCTTCAGCTGCCTCACCCCCTCGTGAATCAGCACCAGGAAGGCGTCTGTCTCCACCTGTGGGAAGCGAGTCATGAGTTTACATGATGAGCAAGAAGGGCTTGGTGAAATGAAATCGACGGGAAGGAAGAATGGAGACAACAGGTGGCTGGTAGGTGACTGGGCAGGGAGAAGCGTCATGAAAACAACAAATCTGCATACCTTGACAGGGCACGCATGCTCCTCGTATTCCTGCAGATAGAAGGCACGCTCACTCAGGCCGACTGATTGCAGCGTGCCCGTCAAGACCCTCCGCGCTTCCCTGCTGCACTGCTGGAGTGGCGACAGCTCCTGCTGCAGCCGCTCCCGGGCCTGCAACACAAGGAGATGACGGGTGAAGAGATGATGGTTGGAACTGGTACTGCACAGTGTGAGTGCGCACCAAGAGAAAAAACAAAATTACCTGGTGCATGGAGTTCCGCAATTGTTGAGAAATCCACACAGCTATCTTGATCCCATCCACCTCCTCCCTGGCATCACTCTGCAGCTGCGCGTTCTTCAACTCCTGCTCCACCTCCTTGGTCCCCTCATTCATACCCCCGCCATCTCCTTCATCCATCCTCTCCTCCATATCATTCCCTTTGGAACCTTCAGCACCCCCTTCACTGCCTGCTTCTCTAGCCGTTTTCCCCTCACTACTTCCTGGCCCCTCCTCACCCCTCTCCTCCACACTCCCAGAAACCTCCTCCCCCACCTCCCTTTGCTCAACACTCGTGTCGTCAACAATAGCACTACCACCCCCAAAAGGGTAAACTGCATGGAAACCAGTCAGTTTGACTAGCGAGAACACTGGAAATGACTGCTTCCCGTCAACCTCCATTGTAAACTCCACATCTATTGGAACCAGCTGAGCCTTCCAGACATGCCCGGGAATTACCCATGAGCCCCGTCGTCTCAACAGCACCCAGGGGTCTCGCATGGCCCACATATGTCGACACAGCTTGTCATAGAACTGGTTCGGGGTGGGTGGGGCGTGTGATCGGCTTGACATAGTTGCCAGATCCTTTTGCAGTTGCAGTGGCAGGGTATGCACGAAGGGATTTGGGGGCTTGTCTTTGGGACAAAACACAGTGGCGAGGTGGCCAAGCATGTAGTCAAAGAAAGGCTGGCGGAACGACGGGCCGACGTTGGAAACACAGAAGGTGATGAGGATGACAAGACGGAGGAAGACTGAACCATGGTCGGATGGTGACATGTTGCTTCTGTTCATCCACCCTAAGAGGGCTTCTGGCTCAAAGACAAAGAAGCGGATGATGGCATGGAGGAGAAGCGAAAGGACATTGCTATGGAGATGCGTGAGAGTTCTCCGATTCTTGTTGAAGTTCCACAGCAGCATGTGCGTGCAGAGGCTCGAATGGTGCTGGCCTTCAAGATGAAGAGACGCCAGGGAGGTGGGGATGACGAGGTTGTCGAGATTCGTGATGGCGGCACACAAATGGACTGCTGCCTTCTCGATCAGGTTGAGGAATGTGGGGAAAGAAACGAAGCCATCCTTTTGGTCCCAGCGGCACCACTGCATACACAGAACAGGAAGGAAGGATACGTCATGCCACAGCCGTGCAGACACAAAATGAAGCAACAGAAGCACCAATGTACTCACCTTGTATGTGCGGTAGAGAGAGAAACCCCACAAGTCAAGAGCAAAAGTTCCACAGAGGAGAGTAGGATGCTGGAGGGTAAATGACAGGGCTTCCTCTTCCCACTGCCCTGCCAGCAGCATTCGAGCACACACGTCAACTCTTGTATCAGGCATCAACGCTAACAGCTCCTGACACTCCCTGCGCATCCACCAAGGTCCAAGATACGGGAGAACTTGCACCAACTGGGACATGAGCCCAACTGGAACCAGAGGCTTGAGGACCTCCTCCTGCTGCCATGCTGCATTGTGGGTGGCATTCTGCTTCAGCGCTTCCTTCCTCCCCTCCACCAGGCATGTCTGCACGCAAGCACATGCCCATCGCTGCATCATGGTCCGTGCGCGCTCGTCCTCCCTCCACCGGCCCACCACAAACGCCAAGGAGCGAGGCAGAGGGCTTGTGACGGGGAAGAGCAACGCCAGCAGCTTTACTGTCGCTCTCTCCTGCTGCTCCTTCCACCTCTCCACCTCCCCTGCCAACTGAGCTATCCCCCCCTCTCCAACTGACCCTCCGGCTTGCCCCTCCTCGCCCTTCTCCCCTCCTTCCTGCTCCTTCTGCTCGCTTCTTCCCCCCCCACACAGCTCCACAGCACACTGCTGCAGGCCATAGATCTCAACCCATAGCTCCAGCTGCATATCCATCTCTCTCGCTCGCTTCCTATCCTCCGCCTCCCCCCTCTCCTTCTCCTGCCACGCCCGATCACTCCCCATACCCCCCTGCTGTGGCACAGCCCATGCCGTGCCCAAATTGTTCCCTCCTCCCAGCTCCTTACCAACCGCCCCTTTCTCCAGAACTCTCAACACTTGTTCCTTCACACTAACAAACTCCTTTACCATCTCACTAGCCTGTCTCGCCCAGTAGATAGCACCTGCCCTGGCTGCTGCCTCCCTCGCTATCTCCCCCCGCGTGCCCTGATTAGGCAGGCGATTCACCGCTGCTCGCACTGGGTTGAGCCATTGAGCGGACGACAGGCCGACAAGGAGTGATTGAGCAGAGGAAGAGGAGAAAGAATGGGTGGCAGAGTGGGAGGAGGAGGAGGAAGGGGAGGAGACGGCGAGCAGGTGGAAGGTGGCATCTAGCCAGGGTGCATCTGTGGGCAGCTCCCTTCGTCTCTGCAGTCGCTGGAGCGCAGACACTATGCTTCCCACCCTTTCACTCCAGTGCCTCCACCAATACTTCACCTCACTCAATTCCGCCTCAAACGGCAACTCCTGCTCCTGCTGCACTTCTTTTCCCTTCTGTTCCTGCTGCTGCAATTGTTGTGGAGTTCCCGAGGAGCTCCCCTGCTGCCATGCGGGTCGGAGAGGGATGGCTGGAGCTGCTGATGTAGGTGGGGGTGATGGTGCGGATGGTGGCGTTTGAGAGGGGAGCTTGGTAGCAGGCTTGATGGGAGAAGGGAGTAAAGGGGCGGTGGTGTGCGGGAGAGGCGGGGTCTTTGCGTGCTGAGACAGGGACGCCTTAGCTCGCTGGATGCTTAACTCGAGAGCCTTCCAGCTCACCAGCACCTCAGCAGCAAGGCTCCTCCTTGGAGTCCCCAACTCCTCCCCCCCTTGCTCCACCAATGCCTCTTCTCCCTGGCCTCCTTCCCCTCTGCCCCCTATCTCTGCTCCCTCTTTTACCACAGCTGATTCTCCCCCCTTGCTCGTCCTCACCTGCTCTACATTCTCCATCATTTCGAGTAGCTCGTGTGAGCGGCACTGAGTAAGCAACTGCCACCATCTCCTCACCTCACCTTCCATGTCCTCATGCCCCCTCTCTTTCCCATGTCTAAAGCCTTGTGAACGAAAATTCCTGAGCCATAGCAGGGTAATCGCCTCCATCCCTTCCCTCTCATCCACCTCCCCTTTCCCCCCCCCAGCTCCCCTGCCTAACCCTTGCCCTTGCACCCCGATGGTGCTCTCCTCTCCCACATCCCTCCTCACGTTACTCAGCCCTCTCGCCTTCCTCTCCCTCTCCCACACGGCAACTGCCGTCTCTAGAGCATCCATGTCCGTTTCCATGCTTCTCTCTGCTACCTCCTCCTCACTCTTCACTGCATTTTCTATTGTACCCTCCTTCTCCTTCTCACTCCCTTCCTCCTCAACCCTCCCTTCCCACACACTGGGAACCACCTCTTCTTTCTCTCCTTTCACTCTCACCATCGCCCCCGCATCCTTCCCCACCTCCACCTTCCCTTCCACCTCCCTGGTCTCCACAACTCCCCCTTGCGTCCGTTCCCGTTCCCGTGCATTCAGCGGCCATCCCTTGTTCCCATTCGCCCACATGCTGGCCACACGAGCAGCACCCATGGCACACTCAAACGCCCGCCCCCACCGTTCCTGCTCCAGAAACAGCATCGCAGCTTCCACCATCTCACCCTTCTTCAGCCTCATTTCAGCAGCCCGCTCGATGTTCCCCTCGGCAATCTCAATCTTCAGCAGCTCGTCAAAAAAGTCCCTTCGCTCCAGAAATTGACGTTTCTTTGCCAGGGAAGAGAACTGGTGGACGAAACTCATCATCTCCCCCTTGTTCTTTTTCCTGTAGTAATACATCGCAGCTTGCTGCAAAAACTCGGCATTCTTCCTACTGACGAGCTTCTCTCTCTGCCTCCACTTTTCCTCACCCTCCTCCCACCCGCCCTGCAGCCGGTGCTGCTCCTGCGGCTGCAGGAGCCTTTCTACCTGTTTAATTTTGACTGCTTTCAACCCTTCTCCCACCTGCCCCTGCCAGTTCTGCAGCAGAGACATGCCAAGCGTATACAAGCGGTTCTGGGCGCACACTAGAAGCGCTCTCTCCACTTCCCACGCCTGTGCAAAGCAGTGCGCCGCCTCCTCTGCCTTCTCTGCCTGCTCGTAGCAGTCCCCTGCCTTCACCCACTCGGGTGGCTTGCACATGTCACGATACACCTCAGCTGGTTGGGGGAGTGAGGGAGGTACATGGAAAAAAGACAGGTGGACGGATTTCAGGAACCACATATGGGTGCAAGGAAGAGAAACAAGAGAGAGTGATCCAGGCAGTATAGGTGAGCAGGCTCCAGCACCCTCGGTCTCCACCACTCCACCCTCAACCTCCACCATTTTAGTCCCCACCCTCAATCCCCGGCCTTCAGACCCATTCGTCATTGATGCTCCCTCTACCTTCACCCCCCCTTCCAAAACCACTCAGCCTCACTTTACCTGCTCGCTCCATCTTGCCCGCGCTGATGAAACACCGGGCAGCATCCTTCGGCCTCCCCACGTCCAGGAACGCCTGGGCAGCCTTCTGGAACGTCCTGCCTGCCTCCTTGGGGTCCGTGCCCTGCAGCCTCTTGGCTGTCTGCTGCAGCAGGGCTGCCCCTGACACGGCTGCACTGTGCGTGTCCCCTGCTCGCTCGAAACTGAGCACTGCTGCTTCAAATTGGCCTGCGTTGAACAGCTGAGGGAGGGGGGAGCAAGTGCAGGGAGACGTGGGTGGAAAGAAGAGGAGGGAGTGACGGGGAGTAGGTTGCTGGTGGGAATAGAGATTGGTGAGGATGCAAGTGTAGCTCTGCTGATTGTTCTTAACGCCTGTTGCATGTACGTGCCACTGCATCGATACCAAAGACCGCTTGAGAGAGGATAGGGGGGAAGCGGGGGGGAATATATGGGAGAGACATGGGGGGCAGTGAGGGGAGAGTGAATGGGGGGATTGGCAGAAGGAAACAAGGTTTGAAGATGGCAAAAGAGCTTTGAGCCAGAATTAAAATCCCAACCACAATCAGCTTTATGTCCCACCCCTGCTTTCTTCCCCACCCCTCTATCCTCACACCTCATTCCCACTCCCTCCTGTCCCTCCCCCTGTCCTCAACCCCTCACCTCAGTGCCCCTCTTGTGCCAGCCCTCAGGCGAGGAGTCAGTATGCATGGACGTGAGTAGATCAGCAGTGAGGGGTTTCACCGCCACCACCCCCATGGCCCCCCACAGGTCCATGGCGGGCCGCCTCGCCCCCTCGTCCTCCTCGTAGATCCACAGCCGCTGCCGCGCTCGTGTCAGCACCACGTACAGCTGCTTCAGCTCGCTGCACAGCAGATTGTGCCTGCGACAGAATCGGAATGGGGAAAGGGCGGGAAAGGGGGGAAAGGGGGGTGGGGGGTGGGTGGAGAGGTGGAAGGGGGTGGAGAAGTCATGATTTCGTGCGTCCCAACCAGCCACATGTGGCACACGGCGGAAGCATATAGTCTGGGCGGTAACATACAATACAGCATCGAAACACACAGCACACACACACCTCTTGGAGTCAAACGCAGGGCACTGCCAACGGCTGGACCCCTCCTCTGCTGAGGGAATGAGGGTATGCTCTCGCATGTAGTGGTACAGCAGACGCCAGCTGGACGCCATAGGAGAGCCCGAGAAGAAGTTGTAGACCAGGGCGTCCTGACGTAGAGAGAGGATGGGTTAATGGGGAAGAAGGTAAGGAAGAGTGGAGAGGAGAAGGACAAACGAGAGGATGAAAAGCGAGCATGAGATTATGGAAACCGTTTGTTTTTAAGACAGGCCATAGGGAGAGACAAGTGCACTCCATATACACAGGTGGCTGGTAGTGGCATGCATGATGCATTGCGTGGTGCACCTGGAACTCTAGTCCTTTGCACTCGTGCACACTGAGCACGAGTCCCCTCGATCCGATGCGCTGCACCAGCTCCTTGCGACTCTCAGCGTCTCGCACCAAGATGACCTGAAGAGCGCGAGAGACAGCAGCGGAGGGCGGAAAACAAATTATCATGATAAGAAGACCGATAGCAAGACTGAGGCATAAGAATAGTAGTAGGAATCCTGGGGAACAAAAATGAGAAGAATGAGGAAACAAAGACCTTCCTTCTTCCAGCACGCCACAATATCCAGTCCCCCACAAACTCATGCAATCTCAAGGGTTCCTCCTTCCACTTGGCTTCACACCCTCTCCAACCTCCTCACCCCCTTTCCTCTCAATCCCATCTCAATACCCTCGCTTCAACCAGCTGCTGCTGGCCTTACCTGTTCGGCTCCGAATTCACACCCGCCTCCTCCAATGGCCCCTTTCTTCCCGAACAGCTCCGTCACCACATCATCGCTCGCCTTGGCATCCAGAAACACCGGCGCCTCCCCATCGATCAGACTGAACTCCGGAGCAAGCCGGTCGACGGCGTGCGGGAAGAAGTGCAGCAGCACGCGCACCACACTGTCCGCTAGGCGCACTATGCCATTATGCGCACGGAAGTTCTGTGATAGGAAGAAGAGATCCGGCATCTCGGCACACGATGACCGCTCCTGATGTGCTGATGTCTGAACTCCGCTCCTGGAGCTCTGTGCAGATGTCTTTGCTCCCATGCCTCCTCCCAACTGCTCTGCTCTGTCCCTGTCTGAGACAGATCTGGCTGCTGACGCTGACTCTGCTGCTCCACCGGCCACCTCTTCCAGCAATCTCCTCCCCTTGGCAGATAGCTTCTGCTTGCCTCGTTCTTTTGCTGCCCCTGCCCACCTCCCCTGCTTCTCCTGTGCCCGACCCTCCTCCTCTCCTCTCTCCCTCTCCTGCCCACCATCACCTTTGCCACCAACACCAGCAACCTCCCCTGCTCCGCCCTCCATACCCTCACTTTCCCCCTCCCCCTGCACGTCAACCTTCTTTCCCAAAAACAGCTCATAAAACAGCCTCCGGATGTCCTGAAACCGGAAATCTACCCCCCTTGCAATCGTCTGTGCTGTGTCACCCGCGAAGACGAACCCACCACCCATGTTAGCACAGAGGAAGCGCATGATGGCGATCTGCGCCTGAGTCAAGTCCTGCACCTCATCCACGTATACGTATTGGAAAGGCGGGCCGGCAAGCACCTTGTCATCGCCACCAGAGGCGACGGACTTAGCAGCACGAGACGAAGCCCTGCCAGCAGCAGCAGCACCAGCAGCAGCAGCAGCAGCAGCAGCAGCAGCAGCAACAGAGGCAGCTGCGAGAGCAGCAGGAGTGCAGATCCTTGTCGCCCCTTTCTCCAGCTCCTTGTACACATGGTACACATAGTCACAGAGGTCGTAGTCCCCCTTCTGCCGCTTCAGCCGCTCATACTGCACGTACAGCCCGTAGATCACCTCCCTCTGCGCCTCATCGAAGCTCGAAGCCCGGGACTGCGCCAGAGCAACATAGTCCTCCTGAGACAGCCTGCCCCGTGGGGACCTGAGGGCGTGCAGGGAGCCCTTGATGTGCGAGAAGAACTCCTTGTACACCAGGGAGGCGTCCAGCTTGCGACTGACTGCCGTGTTGAAATGCGGCCAGTAGAGGGCCTCGAACCGGTCGTAGTCTACTTCATCAGGAAGACAAAGGACGCCACTACCACTACCACTGCCACTGCCGCTGCCGCTGCCGCTGTCACTGCCTCCAGCAGCATTGCCACTGCCATTGCCACGGCTGGGGCCGCCATTGCTGCTCGTCTCCCTCCTATGCCAATGTGACTCGCGCCAGCCCTTCGGAGAAAACGGGTCCCCGGCTCCGTCCTCCTCCTCGTCATCATCTTCATCATCCTCACTCGACCCGTAATCACTCCCATTAAAGTCACTGCCCTCATCGTCACTGCCATCCCCATCCCTTCCCCCAGCCATCCCGCCCCTAGAACCCCCACTCTTCCACCCACCGGCCGCATTCCCCTTCCCATGCCATCCACCCGCCTTCAACCTATCCTGCTGGAACGGACGCACCAGGGTGGCATTCACCATGCTGAGCAGCTTTTTGAAGGTAATCACGAGCGGAAATGCATCAGGCTGCACCTGGTCCAGAGACTCAGGTAGATCGCCCATGAGCTTCTCCTCTGCTTCTTCTGATAGTAACAGCTCCTCCTGCCCCCCTGCCTCCTCCTCCTGCTGCTGCTGCTGCTCCCCTTCGCCTGCCTTGGGTGCTGTGTTGCTGGCAGGAAGGATAGCGTCTGCTTCGAGCATGGTTCTGGTAGACAACGCAAAGGGAGATGGACAAGAGGGGAATTGGCATGAGGAATGGGCAACAGATAGCATGAACATGGCAAGTGGAGAAAAGAGATAACACGGGAGGGAAGCCCATGGCACTCACCGCCTGACTTTGGTCACATGGTGTCGAATCGCCGCACACAGCCGCGGGCTCAGCGTCACAATCACCTGCCGCAGCGTCTCCACCACACCCCCCCCTGCGGGCTCCTCCTTTCCACTCCCCTTCCCATCACCCACCCTATCTCTCCCTCCTCCTTCCACAACACCTCCAGCTCCTCCCGCCTCTGCCACCCCTCTGCCCCCCCCCTCGAGCCCCATCCCTGGCGGCAGCCCCCCACGTTCACCCATGGCTCTCATAAACAGCCGCTCCAGCTGCAGCAGGCGATGCGTGATGATAGTAGTCTTGCCTGTGCCCGACCGTCCGAGCACAAAGAGGCTCCCAGGGTAGTGCACTATGAGCGCCTCCTGCTCGTTCACCTCGAACGGTAGCTCGCCCTGTGCTGCTGTCACCAGCTGGCGGGCTGAGCCCAGGGAGAGCTGGTAGAACTTCATTAGAAGCACACTCTCGTCCACTGGCGCCCGCTCCAGGGCGCTCTCTGGTGGTGGGAGTAAATATGGGGGCAGTGGAGGGGTTGGCAAGGTGGGTGTATGGTGAGACATGGTGAAGAAAGGCGGTGGGGCAAAGAGGCAGGAGAAAAGTAGACACAGAAGGGGAAGGGGGAAGGGGGGTTCCCCCTAACTGGCCACCACATCCACATACCAGCTGCATCAGTAGCAGCTGCAGATGCATCTCGTGTTGGCTTCACCCGATGCCAGGAGAAGTCCGAGTCTTTGGGGAACTGCAGAGGCTGCACCCTGCGAGCGAGGGGGTCGTCACATCTAGCACAGCGGTCCACGTATTCATCTGAGTACGTTCCTAGTCCCCCTTCCAGGCGACGCAGCCACTTTGGCACATTCTGCTCCTCCACCACATCCCACACTCTGATGATCTGCACCATGCAACAGAGGGGGAGTGGACCGGGGAAGGATAGAGACACAAAAAGCGATGATGAGAATGCACAAGGCTTGGATGCATGCTAAAAAGCAGCCTTAGGGGGTTGGTTGCATAAGACCACTGAACAATAAGGTGCGAGAATAACACAAAACAGAGAGGAAAAAGAGCAGGGAAGGTATGCCAGCGCCACGACACATGGTAAAGAGTGGAGCAGTGAGCACTGGCCTGTTTGAACGTGGTGCGGGAGACGTCCACAGTCCAGATGAGGTGGCGCTTGCCCACAGCCTGCACGTGGATGATGTCGTAGTACCGCGGGTCCTTGAGGATGTGCCGCGGCTTGCTGCTGCGCTGCGGCCGGTGCCCGCCCATCAGCCGCCGCACCGCGTTGATCACCTCGAGCGACCGCAGCTTGCGCATACTGTTCTGAAACTCAATGCTGAACGTGGCCTGTGAGCGGGGAAAGAAACGGCGGAAGGCGTGCGAGGAGAGAGTGCGCGAAGGCGGAAACGAGGGCGGGGTAAGGGGTGGGGACTTCAGGAAGGAGGAATTGCACATTGGTGCCTGCCAACCTCTGCACCTCACATCGTCACTCTCCCCCCCCCTACCTCCCCCCCACTCACCCCTTCGCTGCCTCCCCTCCCCTCACTCCAATCCCGCCTCCTCACATCACACTTCCCCTCGAATACGACCTCCACAAAGTCACCCTCCCCCGTCCCCTCATTTTACCTCCCAAGGAAGCGAGTCCCAGAGGCCCGAGTTGGGTAGCAGCAGCTGCTGCACCTCCCCGAGCTCCATCTGGCGCCTCTCGATGGCCCTGCGCAGCTTGACGTCCCTCTGCGCCTCCACCACACACCCGCGCTGCTCCGCGTCCACCAGCAGCTGCTCCCACGTGCTGTCCCCGCGCTGCAGCGTCTCCCTGTCGCCCACCACCCACATGCAGTACCGTGCCCGAGTAATGGCCACGTTCAGGCTGACGGGCGTGGGAAAGGAGGGGGGTGGGGGAGGGAGTAGGGGGGTAGGGAGGATAAGGGTTAGATGTTCCTGACACTCCGAAGGCACAGGGTATACAATCAGGACGTGCCACTATTCCGTGCGGAATTACATTGGCACAGACAGATAGTTGGCCAAGCAGTCGACAGACGCACACATTCAGAGCGGACCTCCCCCTCAGCATCCACCGCTCAAGCTCTCTCACACAGACGACCTACCGCCTGGCGTCAGAGACGAATCCGATGCTGCCGTGGCTGTTGGAGCGCACAGTGCTGACGATAATGACGTCGCACTCCCTGCCCTGAAAGCCATCCACGCTCTTCACCTCCACCACCAGGTGCGGCCACGCCTGGTACTCCATAGCTCGCTTTAGATACTCCACTTGCAAGGCATACGGCGAGATAAGGCCCACTTTGAGAAATGCCCCCGCGCTCGCTCCTGGTGCACCCTTGCACGCTGCAACGGTTAAAGGAGGAGAGAGGCATGGGCGAGTTTTAAGGATGCAAGCCCCAGTAAAAAAATATTTTGTCGTGAGCAACATGACGAGAGCTGCCAAGAGGAAAGAAGTGCAAACGGCAAGGTGTAAGGAGGTACGGGGTAGACGAGTAGATGCGAGAGAGCACAGGAAAGAGGCGCACCGTCCGAGAGTCGTTTGAGCAGCGCCAGCACCACCACAGCTTCCACCGAATTCGCGATACTGCGAGAGCCACCCTCCACTGATACCACCTCCCTCTCCTCCTTGCCTTTGACGTGCATGAACACATACGGGCCAAAGAGTGCCTCCAGGTGCGGCGGGCAGTGCGAGGGGTGGCACACGTTGGCCCCATCCTCGATGCGCCCCTGGTAGAAGCAGTGCGAGGGGAAGCGGCTGATGTCGGGGTGCATGCGGTACTGCACACTCAGCATCTGCACCTCCCACCCCTTGCCCTGCAGCCGCTCAAACAGGCTGCGGTTGTAATTCGCCTCCGTTGCTATCTGGAAAGGATGCATCATAAATGGAGGGTGATCACATAAACCGATTACAAGAGAAGGGGGTTGTCAGATAACCAAGGAGGGAAGGCCGGTTGCCAAGGAAATATGGAACATCCGTTAAAGAACCATGCAGCAACGTTGTGTGAAAGTGATTTCAAAACACTAGGAAACCCAGCAACATTCGTTTCCCTCACTCACCTTACTCATGACTGTGGCTGGAAGTTGCTTGGTGTCACCCACGAGCACAGCGTAGCGCAGCCCCTTGGCCTCTAGGGCCACCAGACTCTCTGCCTCCACCAGCTGGGCTGCCTCGTCCAGCAGCAGCAGGGGGAAGGGGGGGGAGTACCGCAGCAGAGCGCGCGCAGACGAGGAGACGGTGGAGAGAACAAGCTTGGCGTTCTCAACGCACACTGCAGCGATGGTGCCAGAGGAGGGGGTGTTGCCTAGCTTCGGGATGCTGTAAGCTGGGCTTGCGTTAGAAATCAGGCGCAGGCAGCTGCGGATGGAGAGAAAGAGACTCCGGGCTTGCACCGATGTGATTGTAGAAGTGGGAATTCTGCCTTTGCTCGTGTTGCTAGAGCAACGAATCGTCTCCAACCTGCTACCGCCCCTGGTGCTAGTACTGCTTCTAGATCTCTTAGCACCGCCACCTTCCAGACCACCCCCAGCTCTCCCTCCAAGCCCAAGCAAAACCCTAGCCGCCTCAACCACTGATTCCACACCGCCTACTCCTTCTCCTTCTCCTCCTCCTCCAATTTCCGCCGTGCCACATAACCACGTCATGACATCGGCAGGAGACAGTCCAGCACACTTCACCAGCTGCTGCAGCGCTGCCATGAGATCAAACGCCTGGAGCAGCAGCAGCCGCTCATTCTCAGGCAGAAGAGCCGACGGAAGGTCCTCTGCAAGATTCACGGCCTGCTCCATAGCAGGCTGCGAGAGTAGAGCCACACCGTTCTGGAAGTAATGCACTACGCTGAGGGCATCCACCTTCTTCCCAGCCTTCGTGTTATCGCTCCTGCCACTGCCTTGGCCACCTGCGCTTGTAGGCTTCTCTTCCTGACCTGCCTTCTCGTCCGCTTCCTTGACCCCAGCTTGGAGTTGGTCATTCAGCTCCACCCAAGAGCTCTCCAAGAAACCAACCAGTTTCTGGAAGGTCTCTCTCCAGCCGGTCAGATGTGACAGAGCACCGACGAGTCTCCCCATCCGACCAGTGAGTTTGGTCTTCCTCCTCCCATCCTTACCTGCCTCGGTCCTCTCACTCCCCACCAGAATCATATCCAGCTCTGAGTCTATCTCCAGTCGATCCTCATTCACCACAAGGGCTATGTCCCCAATCCTCAGCTTTCCGCGCTGCACAAACGCGTTGAATAGATCTTCCTTACTGATGGATCCATACTGCGGCTGCTGCTGGGCATGGTGATACCCTGCGAACTGAGTGTTCGGGTCGGATGAAAGAGCCAAGTGCAGCATTCGCCTGCCCACTTCAGCCGTGGCCACGTTGGTAGGGGCGCAGACGAGCGTGCGGACGCCAAGGGAGAGCACAATAGAGAGAAGCACAGAGACTGTGTGCGTCTTGCCTGTGCCTGGCGGCCCCTGCACCAGCTGCAGCAAGCGAGGCGCAGCGGAGGAGTGCAGCGACGAGGAGAAGGAAGAGAATTGCGAGGACGAGGAGGAGGAGTAGGAGGAGAAAGGCGTGCTGGAGAAGGGAGAGGAGGAGTCAGAATAGGCAGCAGCGTTGGTCGAAGCGGCAGCAGTGAGGAAGCCTCGGAGGCAGGCGAGAACAGCTGCCTGCTGCGGATGGTTGAGACGGCGCGCATGGCAGAACTCGCCCACAGCATGCATCAGCTCTGGAACCACCTCGGGAGGGATGGCGATGGCTGGAGGGCACGTGGTCAGACGTTGCTGCTCATCACGGTAGCATGGAAGGGGAGGACACACACAACCAAGAACATGGAGAGATTTGTTACAAAACTGAAACCTGATTGTGGAAAGGCCAACAATAAGAGTAACGGTCCTTTGTTGCTGGAGAATCATGGGTACAAGCTAGGCAAATCAGCCAATGGACCCGGTCTTACCTCTCTATCTTCGCCTCTGTTCCACTTCACTCCACCCCTCCTGCCCTCGCCCCGCCTCCCATCCGAACACAGCAGCTCCTCCAGAATCCTTCTCTTCATCCTCACACTCTCAGGCTCCCCCAATCCACCCCACTCCTCCGCATTCAGCGGCTCATGCAGTGCATCCCAGATGCGCTGGGGCGTGGCGAAGCTATCCACCGCAGTCGCATACCACGTCACACTCGCACCCTCCCCGTCGCCCTTCTCCTCCCCCAGCATCTCCTCCAACGCCTTGGCCTCAGGCGAGTCCTCTGGAGCGAAGATCTTGGCCTTGAAGTAGCAGTTTCCGTCTCCTCCACCCTCTGCTGCATTCTTGTCAGGAAGGAGAACCCCCAACAGGTACAGCACGCCTGAGCGCAGCAGGTCGTCAGGCTGGGTAGGAGCAACAGTGGACAGAAGCACCACATCAGTCGGCTTCAGCTTCACCTCTTCAGAATCGCTGCCTCCGGCTCTCCCTGCTGCCCTGTCACGAGCCAGGCTCTCCCGGTCAACCTCAAACACCACCGCACAGAACCGCCCTGTATCAGAGTGCACCTTCGCCTGCTGCTTCTTCACCCTCGTACGCTCCCCAAACAAATCTCCGTACCCGTCACTCTCACCATTCCAATCACTGCCAAAAGGATCATCCTGCCCCATGTAATACCCTCCACCCTCCTCACTCTCCTCCTCCTCATCGCCATCATAGTCCGCGCCTGCCACATACCCATCCAGCCTCTCCAGTTTGCGAATGTCTATGCGCATGGGAGTTGCTGCTGAAAGCTGACCCAGGCTGGACTTGAGGCTGGCACGGCACTCCTCTACCAGCGGCCAGCGGAAGGCAGAGAGGTAGGAGCGGATGTCAGGGAAGGTGTCGGGGATAGGCCGCACCTGAGAGGATTGCAGGGGATGTTGCAGTGTAGGAGGTTAGTGACAAAGGAATGGAAGTCACCAGCCTGTCCTGGTTGTAGTATTGGCTTAAGCTTATGTGGAAAAATAAGTGACATCCACGTTGAAAAGAGCTAAAAAATATCTGGTCAGTCTCTCCAGCAAGACACGTAGACCGATGGTGCAGCCTTACCTTCCTGACGAGCAGGTAGTCGTTCATGATGTCCTCCACGCTCCACTTGAGCACGTGCTGCTCCAGCTGCCGCACCCGCCCCACCTTCCTCGCCTCCTCCTCAGACAGCACCCTCACCGTCCTCCCTCTCTCATCCCCCACCCCCGAGCACGTGAGCTTCTGAAACAGCTCCTTGTCAGCAGGCACACGGCGTGCACGCACGCGCAACCCCGGGATCCCGAACATCTTGAACACCCAGAGGCGGCGATTGTCCAGGGAGAAAGTGAGCCCCTCGTGCTCCACCACTCGGATCGGGGGGAAGTGGTCCACTCTGCTTTTTTCCTCGTTGAGGTCCCGCAAGGCATCGTAGATGGTGTACTTGCTGCTCCTTGGCGCTGCTGCTGCAACGCGTGCATAGCTGCGAGGGCAGCAGAGGGTTCAGACCCGTTTCAGTGGCAGGTGAGAGGGAACGAGGGAAGAAAAACATAGAGGTTGCACTTCGCGTGCGAACATCCTAGATTTATGTCGACAAAAGAATCTCAAACATGCATGCCACCACTGCACCGACCCAAGAGTCGCGAAAGCATCGAGCAAGTGAAAAAAAGCTAGCCAGTCAGGCGTGCGTACCTGTTCGATTCCAGCGCTGTGTCCTGGGCTGCCTTAGCTGGTGGGCGTGAGAAGGCAGCGCATATGGTGGACTGGCTGAATCGGATCTGAGTAGGATCCACCCACTCCACTTCAGGCTGCTTCGCCTCTATCACCACCGTGATTCCACCGGCGTCACTAGGGTCCTGGTCACCACCATGAGGAGATTCTTGGGTGACGCTGGATTCGGCAGGGACATGAACTGGTGGTGGCACCTCCTGTGGACTGAGAAGCAGAGTTTGATATAGGGAGGCACGCGAAGGACGCGGGTTATTAACAAGCGCGAGCATAACTGATGGGAAGAAACGACACGATTCCCACTTTGAAGCAGGACAACGGAGCCTATTGCCAGCAGCGGGTGCTGGGAAGCGACCACCAGGCAGGAAAGCTGACAGGACATGGAACGGCGCGGAAATATCCGTCTGAAGGAACCATTCTGGCTGATGCGGGATACCTGGGCTGCAGCCGCTGTTGAACCACGTTCCAGAAGTCAGGGTCGTACTTCAGACCAGCCATGGACGGCAGCTGGTTCGCGGAAAGTTATGACGCACAGCAAAGTCGGATTCAGATTCAGTGGAAAACACCCATGAATTCCAGCAGGCCAGAGAGGTCAAAAGTATCGCGGAAATTGAGAGCGCTTGGAGTAGCTGAAGTGGTTGCAAAACACCATCTTAGGAGTAAGTATCTCCACCCGTGGCCGCAGATTGCGAGATTCAGGCGAGACGAAGGCGGGACGAGCCGAATTCATGTGAATCCGATCAAATTTAACGAGGGGACCACTATTCAGTGTGGGGACCACTCGGATTCGACGCATGAGAGGACATGGGAAGGCCTGGTCTGGAACGATAGCCCGAGGAGGTAAGGCAGCCTGAGGTTTGGATAAACGCTGAGTGGGACAGGACATGACTCTCGAACATAACTGTAAGCTGGTGTCACAGAACGATCAGTTCCTGCTGACCGTCGATGTTCCATCCAGACCGACAGGGCTCGTGACTGCGACTTTGGATACACGGATAGATGGGCGAATTCGGGGACCACGAGCGGAGCCCAGCACACCGCAACGAGGATCGCACATGGATGCATGGGGAGGGAATCAGTGAATGTGGGATGCCTGCTGGAATTCATGTCACACCAGCACGGCGGCATGGTAGACATCTCAGCTTCCCGTATGCCTGTGCAGGCACCTCAGCTTCCCGTATACCTGTGCAGGCGCTTCAGCTTCCTGTATTGTTTCTTCCGACCAAGGGTGGCCTATCGGCTGACAGGCGGCATTCCCGAGGTCTCCCCCCACTTCCATAGAACCCTTCAGTGCACAGTGTGGCAAAAGGCGTGATGTGGGCGAGAAGAAGCCGTGCCGCCATACTCGTCAAAGAGAGGCGCAACACCTTTATCATGCAGTCCCGAACGATTACTGTGACAATACTAATATGCTAACAACATTCTACTTCTGCAAAACCACAATAAATCATGCAATTAGTTGAGCCACATCCCAGTTAAAAAATCGAGTCATTTGAGAACGGTTGGAGAGATGGGAAGATGAGAGAAAGGGACAGGGGAGTGAAAGGGGACATACCAGGTCATGAGTGGTAAAGAAGATCAGTGGTCATAAAGGTGGGGCAAGAGTGTTGGAGTGGTGGTGAGTTGGGGAGCAACGTCATTGTGAAGGATCAGGAGCAAATGGTGACTGTGCCATCATCGGCCAACAATTACCTCAGGAGTGAGCGGAATCGTCTTTCCGCATCCCTAGCCGTGTGGAGTGCGCACCACACGGGTGTCCATCAGGGATACAATCTCCACCCCATGTGAGTGCCTAGACTTGTTTAGACCCTTATGAGCATTGACGTTATTATAAGTCCCCTTGACATCCTTATGGCATGTTGTCCCCAACACCTTTTTCCATTACCATCCCCCCCAAAACTTTCTCCACTCCTCAGTATCTCTTCTTCCCACCTTCCATCATCCCGTTCTATAGTTTTGCAGGGCAGCACTATAGAAGAACCTGGCAGCAGCAGCACTAACCCCACCATCCCACCGCCACGATTCAATCCCCATTGCCACCCACCCAGCGCGCCCTCCCTCTACTCCTCCCCTCCCTCCTCCCTCAAACAGTATAAATCCATCCCCGTTGCCCTACGCACCGCCATCAGCAGCAGACCGTACCACTTGCTTGCACCAGGGAACATGAGCCAGCACAAGGGATTTGCCGATGCGACCGTGGGAGATAAAATCAGGGCACGTGGGACTGTTATTGCTGCAGAGGGGTGGTTGCCAGTGCTACATGCAGCACTGTCAGCATATAGTTGGTTGGGAGATGCGAGAGATGAACGTTTATGGGGCCTTTCGGTAGTCCTGGGTATGGGATTTCAATCATCCAGTGCCTGCAAGAGTGTCACCTTACCAGTCCAAGGCTCGCACACCAGAACATGTAGTTTAGGTGGCTGATTCACATGGTGGTTGATTGCCCCACTTGCAACTTACTTGTGTGCAACTCAGCAGGGCATACCGGTGTCAACAAATATAATCATAGTTAGCTAGGTTATATTTGTATGTAGCCTAGTAGGCCAGTTCCAAGAGGGTACAGCCCTACTCTTGTACCCCTCAACACTTTCTCCTTACTCAATTTCATTCTCTCGAAACCTAACATCGTATAGAGCTAGGTAGGTTTCCGCATCTCACACTTCCTCTAGGGTATATATAAAAAAAAATCCGCCCCTCCTGCTCTCAGATTTCGCGCATTGTAGCCTCTCCCCCCCCCCCCCCTCCCTAGCGGTCAGCTCACCGCCACCTCGCCAAATAATTGCTAGCCAGCCAGCACGCCCGCCAGCATCCACGGCCAGCTAGCTAGATTGCTTTCCTGGCAGCACGATAGCCAACCAGCTGCCAGCAACGCCAGCCAGCTTGCCGCCAGCGTTGCCCGCCAGCCAGCGTGCCGATCAGTCTCCCAGCGCGCAAGCCACCAGACTCGCTGCCAGCAAAGCTAGCCAGCTAGCCACTAGCACCACCAGCCTGCTCGCCGCCAGCTCTGCCAGCCAGCTAGCCGCCAGCGGTGCCTGCCAGCTCGCTGCCAGCAGCACCTGCCAGCTCGCCGCCAGCAGAGCCAGCCGCCAGCAGTGCCAGCTAGCTCGCCGCCACGAGCACCTCTCCGCTGACCGCCAGCAGCACCAGCTAGCTCTCCGCCAGCGGCAGCAGCCAGCTTGCCGCCAGCAGCAGCCGGCACGCTGCCAACCCACCGCTTGTTGCCAGCACGCCACCAGCTCGCCGCCAGCAGCCGCCAATTCGTCGCTAGCCACCAGCCTGCCGCCAGCAGTGCCCATCAGCTCGCTGCCAGCAGCCCCAGCAGCAAGCGCGCCACTGGCTTGCCAGCCAGCCACAGCCAGCAAGCCGCCAGCTCGCTGCTCGCCGCCAGCAGCCGCCAGCGGCCGCCGCTAGCCACCAGCAGCCACCAGCAGTAGGGCTGACGTTTCAAAAAAAGGCTGAGCCAACCCCCCCCCCCCAAAAAAAAAGTCTGAAGGGCCTTCAGCCGAAATTTTTGTAGTCTGAAATGTCAGGGTCCAGAACTCAGCGAGTCTGATTTTTTCAGGGTCCAGGACGTACAACCAGAGTCACACACGGGAAACACCCCCACAGCGAGAAACATCCCTCCCTCCTACACCTCCCAAAAAATCGGCTAAGTCCCTTGCAGCCATTAAAAATCCTCCCACAGCCCGCGCCCCCCCCAACCAGCAACCTTGTCAGACCCTCGTTTTGCGTAGTTGTTGAATGTGGGAAACAGGGAAGTCATTCCTAAAAACCGAGGGGGTAAAATCGCACTGCCACGGAAATCGAAACTGAGGAGAGGGGGAATCGAAACTGACGGGGAAATGGGGAGGGAATCAAAATGGAGGGGAGGGGGGAAGCGAAACGGAGGGGAGGGGGGGGAAGAGGGGGGGCGGTCGAAACGGAGAGGATGGGGGAAGCGAAATGGAGGGGAAGGGGGAAGTGATCGAAACGGAGGGGAGGGGGGAAGCGAAAATGGAGGGAAAGGGGGAAATCGAAATGGCAGGGAGGGGGGAAGCTGGGGAATAGGACGGTGGGAGAAATTTCGCGCCCTTGCAGCGCCCCGTTTGGGAAATCTTGGACGTTAATCTCTACATAACATCGAACGATTGATATATGTCGAAACGATCGCAAACGATCGTGACCATTACATTTTGTTAGACTTTCAGTTGACCAAACGGGCAACTGGCCAGAATTTCCCTATGTTAAAAATGCGGAATTTACACTCATTCCAATGCAGTTAAAAAAAAAAAGTGAAAGTCTCATTCAAAACTTTTGGGTTGTTCCAGGTGTTAGGGAGGACTTAGTCAAAATTTAGGGTGGGTTGTGGGGTGTGTGGGGGATGTCTCTAGCGTTCCGGGACTTCGCCGAAATTTTAGATGGGTTGTGGGGTGTGGGGTGGGTGTTGTCTCTAGGGTCCAGGGACTTGGCCGAAAATTTTTAGGGGTTGTGGGGTGTGTGGGGCATGTCTCTAGCGATTGGGGACTTCACCAATTTTTTCGAAGGTTGGTTCTGTACAGGTAATGAGTCAGGGTTTGTATGCGCTGTGCTCTGAAAACTCAGTACTGGGTTAGCGACAACTCTGATTTTTTCAGGATCCCTAGAATCGCACTCTGAAGGGATCAGGATTGGGAAAATGCCTTATCTGGAAATTCAGGTTTGGCCAAAAAACAGGTCTGAGGTTTCAGACTAATCAGAGTAAATAGTCTGATAAAGTCAGCCCTGGCCAGCAGCCGCTAGCCACCCGTCACCCGCTAGCCGCTAGCAGCCGCTGCTAGCTGCTAGCAGCCGCCAGCCAGCAGCCACTAGCAGCTGCTAGCTGCTGCCCCCAGCCAGGTCGCCGCTGGCTCGCCACCCAGCAGCAGTCAGCAGCCACCAGCTAGCACTTGCCAGCCAGCGGCCGCTAGCTAGCCGCTGGCCGCCGCCGCCAACGGCGGCCGCTGCCACCTGTTGCCCCCTGCCGTGGCTACTGCCGCTACCACCTTTGCTCGCTACCGCCATTAGCTGCCGCCATCTGCGACCTTCTCCTCCTGTCGCCAGCTTCCCACCGCTCCAGTAGCTCCTGCCGTGCCCTCCTGCGGCCGTCGCCCCCGCCACCTGCTGCTATGGTGTCCCAGCCTGCCGCTGTTCTCCGCTTGGACGCTGAGAGTTGTGCTGTGGGCTTCTCGGCCTGGCTCGTCACTCTCCGGCGCCAGCTCACGTCCATCCGCCAGGACGGCCAGGCCTTCATGGCCCACACTTCGGGTACATTAGCTGCCCCCCCAGAGCCCGTTGCTCTTGCTGCTGATGCGATGTCCGAGCAGCGGACTGAGTTCGAGACTGCCCTAGTTGCCTTCTTTGTCCGACAGTCCTGCGACGCAGCTGCGCAGCTGGCAGTTGCTAGGACAGTCCCTTCTGATGAGCAGACTCACTTTGAGACGCTCGACACTGCTAAGGGTATCTTGGAATCTATTGTAGCTCGCTACTCTACCCAGTCCTTAGCCACCCTAGGTCGTCTGGTCCTGCCTTTTCTGTTCCCCGACCTAGCCTCCTTCTCCACTGTCGCAGACCTAGTAGCGCACCTACAGCCCCTTAAGACTCACTGGCGTACCGCTTGCCTTGAGGAGCACCGCACCACCCACTTCCCACCTACCTACATGTACCTCACCCTGTACCTCCTTGTCACCCGCCTCCCTGACCGTCTCGCCCCTGCGCGAGACGCGCTCCTCATTGTGTCCCCCACCTCCCTCACTATCGTTGAGTTCTCCTCCGCCCTGACGACGGCTGAGTCGCGCCTCCCATGCCAACGCTGACACAACTGGTACGGTGGCTGTCCCCATCTTTCAGGGCTGCTCTACCCCCCAGCTCCCTGTCTCTGGAGCCTCTGCCTCGGTTGTGGTGGCCACTGAGGCCGCTGCCGTAGCCTCCACGGGTCAGAGGGGCAAGGGCAAGGGCAAGGGGGGCAAGGGCCATGGGGGATTGGCAGCAGTGGGTGGTGGGGGTGCGGGAGGGGACGGAGAGGGTGGACAATCGGAGTTGGGGACTGCGCAGCAGTAGCATCCATATCAGCAGCAGCAGCAGTCGCAGCCGCAGCTGCAGGTGCCGCCGCTAGCGTGGGGGTCAGTGCGCCTTAGA